TGCGCAAGAAGGACGGAAGCTCGTTGTAATTTGTATGCTTAATTGAAATAAAATGTGGTTGGAGTTTTTTTATCGATTGGAAAATTTGGATTGCTGTCAGAATTTCGAAGACTGATATGAGGTAATCTAGCGCCTACTATCGTTAAAAAGAAATAATGGATCATAACATTTCTCGCGAATCAGTCGATGCCGGCCTTTCATAAGTAATTTCCTGTTTGAAACTCTCCTCTACTGTCTCGTGTACTCCATGGCGAACCATAGAATCTCCGTCGCTGGAGACAGTGAGTCGCGATCCGCCAATATCGCGCCGATCCCGATCAGATGGTCGCGAGAAGTCGCGACGAGCATCGCGAATGGCAATCTCTCGTGTCACTCCGCCTCCATTTCTATCCCTACCACCAGTACCACTTCCATCTCCGCTGTACAGGCCATTACCATAGCCACCAGCATCACGACGTGAGGGGAATCCACGATGGCTGTCACTATGACTGTACCGGTTGCCATAACCACCGTATAGATGATCTGGTGTACTGTAAGTTTCTTGTTCGTGGACAAGCATTCCACGATCATCCGAATCTCGTCCTGCTCCACCATATCGTTGTGATTGCAGTGCGGTGTATCCGCCTTTCGATGTGTTTGATGCGTCGTTCAGAAAGCCTGCTGCAATTCGATTGAAAACGCATGCACAAACAAACACATGCGATCAATATATTAAAAGCTTCTGACAATCAATCGATTATTGATTATTAGTCCAAAACTAAGTGGGTTCATTAAAAGCTTAGTGTAACGAAAGTGTAGTTGTACCTTTCTTTGGTTTTTGCTTTCTTCGTTTGGCCAGCAGCCATAAGAGTGTTCCAAGAATAGCCAGTAGCAACACGGCAGCCAGTATGATAAAAATTATCATCAGCCTGAACATATCTTAAAATAAAATAGTATTTTGTGCAAAGAAAACATATCTACTATATATTGTGAGTTTCGGAGGGAGATACTAGCTATTGGAATGATGCTATATATTCGATTTACGAGTATATTGCCAACACTTTCAAATTTCAAACCTTTCATTAACATTCGGAAGAAAATTAGCAGATTGAGTTCCACATTTTTGACTCCAAACATTGCATTCGACTCT